GCCGGGCGCGCGGCGGTGGCGTCAGCACGGCGCGTGGGGCGAGGACGTCAGCGGCGGGTGACGCTGCAGAGCGGCGGCAGCTGCAGGAGGCGCAGGTGCGTGTGCTCACGGCCCCGGCCCCGGCCCATTTCTCCTCCCGGTTTTTGGTCCCCGGCTGGGAGGTGATGCCGCCAGACGGGGGCCCCTTGCCTCCGGCCGGGATTGCGACGAGTCTCCGGTGGGGGCCGCCCCCGCACCGCGCTGCACTCGGCCTTGCTCTCTTGCCCGGGTCCGACCTGCCTTCGGAGGGTTTGTCCTGGGCACCTCAACTCGGCCGGCTCCTCCTGGGCCTGCGGTCCACCCTCGGCTCCCCCGCGCGCTCCGTGCCGCGGGGCGGGCCCTGGGTCTAGGGCTGCTGGAGCAGCGGGAGCACCGTTCAGCTCATCGCGGGCTGCGGGCGCGCGGCCCTGGGGAAGCCCCCGGTCGCTGTCTCGCCGCTGTCCCGGGGCAGGCCGGTGCTGCGGAGGGGCCATGAGCCCCTCGTCCCAGCGCTGCGTCTGCCAGCAGGGGTCTGCGGATCAGAGGACTCTCTGGCGCATCACTTTGAAGCTGACCTGGGAGAAGTGGGTGGGGGAGCAGTAACTGAAGAAGCTGTCTGGGAAAAACGGTGTTCCCAGGTCTCTTGTTGATGCTTAATGTCTAGGGTTAATACTGCAAAATACTCTTCTCCCTGCCTCACTGATGTGTGTATGCGACTCCCATGAATATTGCATGTTTATCAGGCAGGCAAGGAATAACACCCGTGATTCGTCCACTAAACAGGCTCTCTCCTTTGCTCCAAGTGAATTGGACTTCTTCCAGCCCCCCTGGAGAAACTGTTAATTATTTCCCATTGCTTCTTTTGCATGTTGTCTGGCATTGTGCTGTGTACTGAGCTTGCACTGCTGATCCCTGTAAACACTTGCCTGGCTCTGGTCCTTAAAGAGGTGTCATCCTTTCTGCCTGCATTGTTAACAACACTTGCAGGAAGGACTTGATTTAAAGTGCTCTCCAAAAATGCTCTGCTGAGCCCCAGCTCGGTCGCAGCCTGCAGCTTTGCTTTGGTTCTTAGCTCTAAGCCAGTGGTCACCAACCAGTACATCCCAATCAACTGGTTGATTGCGGAGCCCCTAACAGTTGATCTGAGATCAGCTGTCAGAGGCTCTGCAGTCCAGAGCTGCGGGACACGTGGGGAACAGCCAGGACACAGTCCACGAGCAGCAGGACACGCTTGGCTGGGCTGAGCTTCACCCCCTGCCTCCAGGGCCTGGCTGGGTGAGTGGGATGATCCCTCTCCGTGTCCCCTGTCACTGGGTGAGTGGGGCCCCAGCCAGGCACTTGGTGGGGGGGCATGTACACCCCAATTTGTGTGTGAGGTGAGGCGGCTGCCGCTGTGCGCTTGGCTTTGCACCTCAAGATGGCGACACAGGTACTGTGTCTGTTCAGCTCTTGGTTTTTCTGTTGAGACTGCTTGTAATTATGATGGTTGTGATGGTGGTTTTGGTGAATCTTTGGCAGGAACCAGTTGGAGTGATGTAATTCCTGTTAGCAGTCATCACTTCACAACAGTTCTTATAACTATGGGCCAAGGCCAGATTTGATCTTCAGTGTTTTGCTTTATTTATTTTTTTAAGAATATAAGGTATCTTTCACCTCAATTCTAAGTCCTTTCCTTCTGCAAGGTTTGAAATAATGAATTTGAGAAAATTCAACAGCTATTTCTGAGTGCTTTTAAAGTGCTGCTGAAATGGTAGATTAGTTTAGAGATGGATAGAATGGGACCATTAACCTTGACATTTGATAAAAGTAATAAATGAAATATATAACTGGAATTTGCAGCTGATTTCACTTAAATCTAAATTTTTGATTTTTTCCAAAGTGTGCCCACTTCTAAGTCACACCAGGGATTAGAATCAGTGAGGGGGGAAAAACCTTTTTCATTACTAGCATACTCAGACAAGAAGACGGTAGAGAAACGTGTCTCCTCTGAGAAGCACTCATGCAGAAATCCAGAAGAACAGCTTTGAGCCTTTCTCAGTGATGAAAGGAGGGTTTTATTGTTTTTGTGGTTCATAAACATTTTACGTATACATTTTACATGTCCAACCCAGCTGCAGGCAGGTGAGCCCTTTGAGAGATTAGCTGTCTCTGTCAGCTGAAGAATTCTTCAGTTGGGGATTTCTAGTTTTTCTACTTTCTTAAATTCTAGGGGTTTTTTTTCTTACCCAGTTTTGGGAGGGAGCAGTTCTGAGTTTGGAGACCAGTTGGTTAAAATGTGTGAGAGACTGAGATAAGACCAAGAAGCAAGATAGTGTTCCCTGTCCTGAATCCCGGCTCTAGTGTCTCCTCCCATCTTAGATGCCTTCTGTGGTGCAACCAGATGCCTTATTGTAACTGTAAGGACCTTTCCTGCCTGTGATAGAGCCAAGTGCCTGGTCACCTTGTTTACTTTTTTAAACCAAAGCAATACTAATATTAAAATTGGAAGCAGTTAAAGAGAGCAGATTGAAAGCGTGGAGCACTCAGAAATCTGAGTAGTAAATATATTCCTTCCTAATGGCTAGTTCTGTCTGCTGAAAACTAGAGAGGATATTGCTTTTCTTGAATAGAGCACCTCGTTTTGTCTATGCCAGCAGATATTTCTAGCCATTACGTTAATTTGGAGAAGAGTTAGGGAATCATCATAACTGCAGATTGCTCTGACTTCCTGCTTTCTTTTCATTATAATTCAAGGTGTTGCTCTTCCCTTGTTAAAATCCCCATATAGTCTGGATCCTGCCTCAATAAAACAATTTCTCTCTTTCTTCTGCTGCCAGACAAATGAAATTAGCTGGAGCAATATTAGTTGCAGTCCCTAGATTTTGAAGGCTTGGCAGGATATCAGAGTACAGCCTCTGATCCTGGAATTTGATTTTTCTCGTTTTGGCTCAGCGGGACTCTTGTCTACTGAACCTTAGGGGTTTTTTTTCAATCTGCTTTTATTTGCTTTTCCATCTTTTTGTCTAAGAAGGGTGGCTGACTTGTTTGCTTGTTTTAACGCATTAATTTTTAAGAAGGATTTGTTTGTGTTGCATCCCTTGCCCTTGTCCTTAGATACTTATGCATCGTAGAGGTCTTAAAAGTTTCTATTTGATTCTTTATGCAGTTGTCAGTGCAGAACTAAAGTAAGGTTTGTCGCTATCAGGTGGTCCAAAGAGGGCAGGTGGCTGCCTTTTTTTAATCTGCTTTTTTAATCTATTTGAAATTTCTAGGAAAGGAGAGGGAAGGTCCCATAAGCTAAGATAGAATATTGTGCCAAAAGCCTCTTTTATACTCTTGGTTGAAGTCAATGAAACGTTTTAATTTGGCCCAGTATTTGTGCAGCTCTTAGTAAAGTGCGAAATTCCTTTTATAAAGCATTATCGGTGTCTGGTAGAGACCTGTATACAATGCTTATCTTCTGAAGAAAGACATTGGACCATAAACACATCATAAATATTAAGCAATACATTTCCCTCCTGACATAAATAAGCACTGGTGTTCCTAATTTACTAATCCTGAGTCACAGAGCAAAAGTGACTTCTAGGTCTCACAGAGTCAGTTGCAGACCCTAGTGTCATGTTTAACCCTCAAGATCAGACCTTTTGGCACTTAATTAGCAGGTGCCTTAACTGTTTTAACTCTGTCCTTTTTGCTGTTCAGTTTTAAGGTTAGAAGTGCCATTTTGATATTTGAGGCCTACATTGACATCTTATTAAAAGAGAAACTGTATAAAACCTAATATGAGTAGGAATACATATCTATTGAGTATGGAAAAAATCAGTTAAAAGGTTTTATTTAGGGCTGCACGAATACAGATTTCTTGGGCTAATATCGATGGCCAATTATTAACGAGCCATATAGGCCAATATCGATCTGATTGCTGATCTGCGGCCCAGCAGCTTGGAGAGCAGTGTCTGGCTAGTAAGTCAGTTGGGGAAAGGGGTGGGCGGGGAGGGGGAGAAGGGATGGTGGGGGACAGATTGAGGCCTCCGCAGTGAGGGAGGGAGTGGGGCAAGGGCAGACGCTGCTCAGCTGTGGCAAGGCGTGGGACAGAGCTACAACACAGCTTGTCTGGTGAGGGGGAAGGGTGGCTCCCACCTCTGCATGCACCCCTGGGGGAAGCATGGGGGGGCACATGCCCCCTGAACTGTGCATAGGTTGAGGGCGGCCTGCTGCTGAGGGCTGGGGCTGTGGGTGGCACTGGGCTCTTCCCGGCAGGGCGGGGATGGGCTTGGGCCAGGTCGTGGTGGCACTGGGAGTGGGAGGTTTGTGGGGGCTACAGCAAATTCTGGGGTGGCTGCAGCCCTCTGTACCTCCCTTCCCAGTGCCACTACTGCCTGCCCTGAGTTCAGACCTGGTGCCGGGAAGAGCCCAGCACTGACCCCGAGCACACAGCAGGCTCACAGATTCAGGGGGCACATGCCCCCAAGCCTTCCCTGGGGATACACAGGGTGGCAGCAGCCCCTGCCCCAGCCCCACTCCCTCACTATGGGGACTTTGATCTGCCCCCCCACGCCTCTTCCCTCCCCAACACCCCTTCACTCCAACAGACTTACTGGCCGGCTGCTGCTCTCCAAGCTGCTGGACTGGCCATGTGCATGCTGTGGCTATACACGTGCACGCAGCATTTACTGGCAACATTATCGGCAATCAGCTTTTTTTTGGCTGATGTGGCCAATAATGTCAATTTTCCTTTTATGAGTGCTGAAATTATATGAACCGATGTATCGGTGCACCTCTAGTTTTATTAGTTTGTATTTAAATATTACCTGCAGCATTCCTGTAGACCAGTGATTCTCAACTAGGGTGTTGGGTCTCCTAGTTGTGCCAGATTTTTTGAAGCCTGGCATGAAGGATGAGGAGATAAGTGAGGTGTTAGGAGAGACAAGCAGAGGAACACAGGCTCAAGCTTGTCCCTGTCTGGATTATCCCCCATCCCTACTACTGGGCACTTCTGCAAGGAAGTAAGCCCTGTGGTAGATAAATTGGTGTTTGAAACTGGGTGCCACTCATTTAATGAAAGTTAAGGAGGTCCAGAAAGTCCAGAAAGATTCATAGATTCATAGATGTTGGGGTCGGAAGGGACCTCAATAGATCATCGAGTCCGACCCCCATAGGCAGTAAAGAGTTCTGGGTTTAGATGACCCCAGCTACATGCCTATCTAACCTCCTCTTGAAGACCCCCAGGGTAGGGGAGAGCACCACCTCCCTTGGGAGCCCGTTCCAGACCTTGGCCACTCTAACTGTGAAGAAGTTCTTCCTAATGTCCAATCTAAATCTGCTCTCTGCTAGCTTGTGGCCATTATTTCTTGTAACCCCCGGGGGTGCCTTGGTGAATAAATAATCACCAATTCCCTTCTGGTTGAACATCACTTCTGTAGATTATGCTAATCTGTAAAGAAATTAAAACTGATTAGATAAGTGAAATAGGCAGACAAGGTTCTTTGGGTGAATCTGATATCTTTTATTAGACCAACTTAAATAGCTGGAAAAAAAAATTTTAAGCAAGCTTTTGGGTTCAAAAACCCTTCGTCAGGTTGAGGAAGTTTCAGCAGTTGGTGTGTGCTCTTCCTGGATGTAATGAAAAGTAAAGAAGCCAGAGGGTGGGCTGGTATGCATGCAAGATAGGCAGTCAGTGAAGATGTAGATTGAGGAGTCAATGGGTGAGAGAGAGGCTGGGTTGAGGGGAGAGAGTGGGATAATAGTGGAGAGGTACCTGAGGAGTTAAATGTCAGGCAGGTTATAATGTGTCATAAATCCAGTGTCTATATTTAGTCCATGATTTTTAGTATCCAGGAGGTTGATGAAGTGGAGTTTATAGGCTCATCTCTGGGAAGTGTTTTGTAAGTTTCCTTTGAGGATTAGAACTGAGAGATTGGAGTGGTTTTCTTGTACGAAATGTGCCCCCACTGGTAATTGGGTATTCCTGTCTTTGATAGATTTCCGGTGTCGATTAATTCTGGTGCCCAGTTGTTGTTTGGTCTCTCCTATGTGTTTTCCATCAGGGCATTTGGTGCATTGGATGAAAGATATTACATTTCTGGAGGTGCAGCTGTAAGATCCGGAATGCTGATGGCTTTGTTGTGGGGTGTAGTAATTGTGGGTGTGGTGGAGATGTGTTTGCAGGTTTTGCATTTCTTGTCATGGCATGGTCTGGATCCATTTGGTGTGTTTTGGGTTGTAGGAAGTTTGCTTCTGGTGATGAGGTTAGCGAGGTTCAGTGCTTGTTTGAAGGCTAGGATGGGTGACTCTGGGAAGATCTCTTTAAGAATAGGGTCTCTTTCTAATATGGATTGCAATTGTTTGCGGATTTTTCGTATGGGTTTGAGGGATGGGTGATGTCATAACTAGTGCTGTGCAATTTGTGGGGGTTTTTCTTCTGTACTGCAGCAATTCTTGACGTGGTTTCTGGGTGGCTCTTTCAACCATGCCATCTGACGCAGGAGGTACACAGTCTTGTCTCTAGTGGGTTATGAAATAGAGAAAATCCCACACAATTTACTGATTCATTTTGATGCACTGGCTGGGGGAGTTGTTAGCTGATTGCACGATTTCACAATGTTTACACACTTAATTCATACAACACAATTTTATTTTAAAACTCTTTGCTACGTATATAACACTGCTTAGGTTTAAGAAACACCACAAACATTAAGAACACAATAACTACATATATCAGAAACAATGCTCCGAAT